CGGTATTTTAAAAATTCATATCATAACAAAAATAAACACCGGTATTCGGTATGAACCGGTATACCGCCCAGAACTAGTAGAAATGTTAACAGTAAAAAGACAGACAAAACAGAAATGCATAGAATGTGTGAATTACGGCATATGTGAGTGTTGTTTTACTGAATGAGCTTTTTAAATTGATGTGCTATTGTGTCAACGCTTTTTTAATATAGTGATATAATGATTTACTGTGTTGGAACACTTTGTATTTGTTAAGCCTCGTGCACACCGGGACGATTATTGCGTGCGCTTATCGCCAGCGTTTTTCGACACGTCTTGTGTGTTCATACCATAGACTGTATAAAAACGTGGACGTAGTGACGGTGACGTCACCCGTAGATTTCCGAAGAGCGTTTTTGAAGCCTAAAGTAGGCGGAGCCGGCCGTCGCCATCTTGGCAGCGCGTCACTCCCGGATAATTGAAAATGGGCAAAGAGGCGGGAGCTGGTTGCTGAAACCACGCCCACCTAGTGGTTCATACCCAAGCGATTTTCACTGGCGATGAGCCGAGTGAACATGCAAATTCACTCCCTGACATTAGATGGTGCTTAATGAAAAATACCCCGGTTCACATCAAATCCTATTTTGATCAACTCCCTCTTATCGAGATTTTTGTAGTCGCTGTCGCGTTTGTCATAAAGCCCTTTGTGTTCAGACACCAATGAGACCAACAGCTCTACATTCATCTTGCCTCGAAGCATCTTCTTGGTCTACTTCCTCTTTGTCGTTAGGTATCAATGTGTGCTCGGCAAGACCGTTTTGTGCTTGAGCGCCACCAAGTCGTGTTTTACTGTAACTTCAGCAGCTCCAGGCACGTGAACAAAAGCACCAATCTCATTAATCGGCCAGTTTTTAACGCGGCGCGTCAAACCAAAAAAACGAGCCCGAGGCGTTTTTTAAAAATGGCGCTTTACGCCTGGCATTTTGCGCGCTGGGGTGCACACTCACATTGGCGCCCTTTGTTTAGTCACGAGGCGTTAAACGTCGACGATAATCACACGCGATAATCATCACGGTGTGCACAAGCCTTTAGGCTATGGTCTCTTGAGATATATAATTTAGAGGACATCTGCTTCACTTACATACTTAAATGTGTAAAACAGTCCAAATAAATAATTTAAAAAAAAATTATGTATTGTTGATTTTGGCAAATCTGCTTCTTCCACACAGAAATTCATGTTCAGTGAAGCTCCTGAACAACAATCACACAGTCAGTGATTTCACCAATAAATACTGGAATATTCATATCAGCCTACAAGTGAAGACTAGCATAAAAGCATCATAAAGAACTGAAATCTACAAAGACTGAGTTTATTCAAGAGGACAGATCTCATTAATCGGCCAGTTTTTAACGCGGCGCGTCAAACCAAAAAAACGAGCCCGAGGCGTTTTTTAAAAATGGCGCTTTACGCCTGGCGTTTTGCGCGCTGGTGTGCACACTCACATTGGCGCCCTTTGTTTAGTCACGAGGCGTTAAACGTCGACGATAATCACACGCGATAATCATCACGGTGTGCACAAGCCTTTAGGCTATGGTCTCTTGAGATATATAATTTAGAGGACATCTGCTTCACTTACATACTTAAATGTGTAAAACAGTCCAAATAAATAATTTAAAAAAAAATTATGTATTGTTGATTTTGGCAAATCTGCTTCTTCCACACAGAAATTCATGTTCAGTGAAGCTCCTGAACAACAATCACACAGTCAGTGATTTCACCAATAAATACTGGAATATTCATATCAGCCTACAAGTGAAGACTAGCATAAAAGCATCATAAAGAACTGAAATCTACAAAGACTGAGTTTATTAAAGAGGACAGAGAACATGAGAGATCCAGAACCCTGCAGAATGAAACGCACTGAAGATACCGAAGAACAAACAGGTTGGTGTTTATTCTTGTTTCTTCATTAATAGTGCTGAAGTTTATGAAGCTTCAAGCGGATTTATATTTGTTGTAATAGGAAATAGCGGTTACATGTTATTTTAAGGTGTCCTCGTTACAGTGTAATTATACATTTAAGCACTGAGTAATATTAATTAACTACATGTACAGTGCATCTGGAAAGTATTCACAGCGCTTCACTTTTTCCACATTTTGTTACAGCCTTATTCCAAAACGGATTAAATTCATTATTTTCCTCAAAATTCTCAATGACACTCAAAACTGAGCTCAGGTGCATGCTGTTTCCACTGATCATCCTTGAGATGTTTCTACAACTTGATTGGAGTCCACCTGTGGCAAATTCAGTTGATTGGACATGATTTGGAAAGGCACATACCTCTCTATATAAGGTCCCACAGTTAACAGTGCATGTCAAAGCACAAACCAAGCCATGAAGTCCAAGGAATTGTCTGTAGACTTCCGAGACAGGATTGTATCGAGGCACAGATCTGGGGAAGGGTACAGAAAAATTTCTGCAGCATTGAAGGTTCACAGAAGCATGGAGTCTCTGTTACCCTTAATGGAAGAAGTTTGAAACAACCAGGACTCTTCTTAGAGCTGGCCAATTGATGGAGAAGGGTTTTGGTTAGTGTGGTTACCAAGAAGCTGATGGTCACTCTAGTTGAGCTCCATGATCATACTGTACGTGGAGATAGGAGAAACCTACAGAAGGACAAACATCACTGCAACACTCCACCGATCTGGGCTTTATGGCAGTGCGGCCAAACTCAATCCTCTCCTCAGTGAAGACACATAAAACACACTTGGAATTTGCAAAAAAGCACCTAAAGGACCCTCAGACTCTGAGAAACAAGATTCTCTGGTCTAATTAACCTCAATTCCAAGCATCATCTTTGACGGAAACCTGCTCTGCTCATCACCTGCAGAGTACCATCCCAAAAGTAAAGTGTGCTGGTAGCAGCCTCATGCTGTGGGGCTGTTTTTCAGCGGCAGGGACCGAGGGACTCATCAGAGTAGAAGAAAAGCTCAGTGCACCAAAATATTGAGATAGCCTTAATGAAAACCTAGTCCAGAGCATTTAGAGCTTCAGACTGGGCAGAAAGTTTACCTTCCAACAGGACAATGAACCTAAACACAGCAAGAGTGGCCTATAAACAACTCTGTGAATGTCCTTGTGTGGCCCAACCACAGCCTGGGATTGAACCCAATCAAATATTTCTGGAGAAACCTGAAAATGTGCATCTGCCCCCGTCCAACCTGACGGAGCTTGAGAGGTGAAGATGTGAGGAGAAGTGCCAAATAATTTCCAAATGATGATGATCAAAGCTTGTCACATCATACCCAAAAAGATTTGAGGCTGTAATTGGTGCCAAAGGTGCTTCAACAAAGTATTGAACAAAGGCTGTGAATACTTATGTACGTGTGATTTTTCTTTCCGTTTTCTATTTTTAATACATTTGCAAAGATTTCAAACAAACTTCTTTCATGTTGTCATAATGGAGTATTGTTTGTAAAATTGAGGAAAATAATGAATTTAATCCATTTTGGGATAAGGCTGTAACATAACAAAACGTGGAAAAAGTGAAGCGCTGTGAATACTTTCTGGATGCATTGTACTTACTATGGTTAGGATAAGGATTTGGTTTAGGGTTATTTGTATGTAATTATGCATAATCTATTGTTATTATAATAGTAAGTAAGGACTCCTTAAAATAAAGTTTAACCGAAAAAGAGAGCTTTAGAGCTGTGCAATAATATAGCTAGAGCATCAAATAGTAAGGGAATAATTAAGTTGGTCAAACGTATTTAAAAGTTCTCCCTATAGAAACATGGGATTTGTGCCTATAATGTTTTTAAAATAATCATTTGAAGATCAATGTACCTCATTCATGGAAAGTTTCAGGGACGTATACATTATCAAAATGATCAACGTTTTGTGTAGCAATTGTCTTCTTTCCGCTGTTATATCAGAGCTCGTTTTTATGTCCTTTCACATTTCTCAGTTTTTTTTTTTACGAGTTACTGAAATTGAACCGTTTTTACTTTTATTTCAGAGTTGATTGGAGAACATCAGGAGATTGAAGAACTGAGTGAAGTTGAGGAGCAAAATCATGTCAAAACTGGAGAAAAACCTCAGAGTTTCTCTCAGGAGGTTTTAAAGAAAATAAGTGCTGAGAAATCTTTCACCTGCACTCACTGTGGAAAGAGTTTCGCATACAAACATAGTCTTAATGTTCACATGAGAGTACATACTGGAGAGAAACGGTACATGTGTTCACATTGCGACAAGGGATTCAATTGGTCAGGACACCTGAAAGCACATGAGAGGATTCACACTGGAGAAAAACCTTACAAATGTTCAATCTGCGACAAAAGATTCAGTCGGTCAGGAATCCTGAAGGCACATGAGAGGACTCACACGGGAGAGAAACCGCACACATGTGATCAGTGTGGGAAGTGTTTTGCGCAAAAAGGACAACTTACGGCACATATGAAAGTTCATACGGGAGAGAAACCGTTCTCTTGTGATCAATGTGGGAAGAGATTTGCACACTCAGCACACCTTAAGGTACATATGAACATCCACACTAGAGAGAACCTGTGCATGTGTGATCAATGCGGCAAAATGTGTTTGCGGGCTTCAGACCTGAAGATGCACCTGCAAGTTCATACAAAGGAGAAGCCACATCCATGTCATTTATGTGGAAAAAGTTTTTCATGTCTACAAAATTTGAAAGTACATCAGAAAATACATACTGGTGTGAGAGAGTACATGTGCTTTGAGTGTGAAAAGACTTTTATTTCAGCGAACAATTTAAAACTGCATCAGAGGATCCACACTGGAGAAAAACCTTACAAGTGTTCACACTGTGACAAGAGATTCAGTTGGCCAAGAATCCTGCAAAGACATGAGAGGAGCCACACTGGAGAGAAACCTTACAAGTGTTCACACTGTGACAAGACATTTAGTTGGTCGGGAATCCTGAAAAGACATGAGAGGAGCCACACTGGAGAGAAACCTTACAAGTGTTCACACTGTGACAAGAGATTCAATCTGTCAGAAAACCTAAAAAGACACGAAATGATCCACACTGGAGAGAAACCTTATAAGTGTTCATACTGTGACAAGAGATTCAGTCAGTCAGCAAATCGGATAATACACGAGAGGATTCACACTGGAGAGAAACCTTTCAAGTGTTCACACTGTGACAAAAGATTCAGTGATTCAAGAGACCTAAAAAGACATGAGAGGGTCCACACTGGAGAGAAACCGTATCAATGCACTGCATGTGGGAAGTGTTTCAAACAATCATCTGCTCTACGCAGTCATACAAAAAACGTTCACTGTAAGTAGATCATCTTCAGATCAGGACTTTCAGGTCTGATGCCGCGTCCTCAACAAATATGACACAATAATGCATCAAGCAATAAAATGTCATCTGGATAAATCTGTGCTAACCAGTCATTACAAGTGACATGACAAAGAAACATTATCTAAACTTTTCACAGTGAATAAAGTTCATCATCATCTTTAAAACCATCAGTTTCAACTGTGAGATTCAGATCAACTCAAAGATGGAGTTCCTCCCCAAAGAACAATGTCAAAAAGTGTTACTCTTGTGTATCATTTTGCTTCATGACACAAGTCAGTGGTTCCCAACACTGGTCCTGGAGGCACCCCAACACTGCACATTTTGCATATCTCCTTTCACTGACACACCAATTTCAGATCATGGAGTCTCTACTAATGAGCCGATGACCTGAATCAGGTGTGTTTGATTAAGGATGCATGCAAAACATGCAATGTTGTGGTGCCTCCAGGACCAGGGTTGGGAACCGCTAACATAAGTGATACTATTGTGCTTTCTTATAAGTTTCATATTAAGTTCAGTTGTCTTATAAAAGGGGTCATGAACTGCCTTTTTTATTATTTTGTACTGTTCTCTGAGGTCCCCTTGTGTTATCAAGATTTTTACATCAAAAAACATAATTTAGAAGTAATTGTAATATTTTCTGTCATGTTTTGACCTGTTTGAATAGGCGTGGCGGATTGTAGACTCGGAAGTAAATGCCCACTGCTGTGATTGGCTAGATATACTGTCATGTAGCTTTGCAACTGATCCTGCTTTGCTTCTTTTGTCAGTAGGGATGGGTACCAGAATCCAGTATTAAACAGGCCCTGGGGCTAAATTACAAAAGACTTTCGTATCAATAAGCTCTGACGTTATCAGTTTGGAGAAATGATGAAAATACACTTAATTGATTACTGCTGCATAAATGTTATCAAGCTAATTGTGTCTTGCCAATCATTTCTATATGCGATATTATCGTCCATGATGCGTTTTTGTTATTTGCAATCCAGAAGCGAGAACTCTCATGTACTTTAGGGCTGTACAATTAATCAAATTTTATTTTCGATTTTGAGTTTGGCTTCTAAGGATTATGAAAAAAATATGTTTTATTGATAATTGTGCCACATTTCATCTAGCAAGCCTTCCTTTCCTTCGTAGTGCCTTCATTCCTTCCTAAAAGTCCTAACTTAATGTCAAATCAGTGATTTGATCAGTGATTGATCAGATGATTTATACATCATCTCAAACTTGAGGCCATAAAAAGTCTACTGTTAAACTGCAGGATGTGTTTGATAATAAGAAGCAATTTATTACGGAGCTAGACTAAAATTGAAACTAAATCCTAATAAATTAAGTGAAGTTTGCAGAAGCGCAAGTAAAAGACCTACACGCATTATACCTTCACCTACGCTGTTGGATTCCGTCGTTGGGCCAATAGGTCCTTACACACTGCTGTGGATCCTCTCATGTGTTTTCAGATGTCCTGACTCTGGTGCTGTTTTAAACAGTTCACTGTATTAAACGTCTGTCCACACTCAAAGCACATCAGAGCTCGTATACCAATATGAATCTTTTTATATGAATATGGCAGCAGTGAGGAACTCTTTCCACATACAGAACATGAATGCAGCTTCTCCTTCTTTGTCAGGTGTGTCTTCAGGACTGAGCCCTAAGAAATTTGTGCCGCACTGATCACAGTGTTGGAGAGTAACTAGTTACATGTAACAGAATTACGTAATTTAATTACAAAATAAATGTAACTGTAATCTGTAGAAAAAATGTACTTGTGAAAATGTTAACAATTACAAAGAGGGTTGCATCTGAATATTTTCACACACATACACAGATTTGATTGATTCCTTTCCCAAATTGCATTGACTGCTCTTCAGGAGTTAAGGGCACTGAATAGGACACATGCTTTATTTATTTATTTCCTATGCTTTATTTTTTAAGATTAACTGTTTTTGCATCGTTAGATGCCAGTGTTTCCTGTTGTAGCTATGTAAAGATTTGATTTCAAAAACAGGATCATAGCTATTAAACTATATCTTATGATTTTAAATCTGTATTTAACCTCAGAATGATCTTAAAGTAAAAAGAGGTGCTAAAGTCTGATTTTGTGGTGGCTGTGCAATAAATGCTTTAAATGTTGTAAAATTATTAACAGTTGAAAACATTTGTTAGAAATTTGGAAAAGTAGTCAAAAAGTAATTAAATGTAATAATTAGTTACATTACTTTAAAAAAAAGTAACTGAAATAGTTGCACTGCTTATTACATTTTGAATAGGGTAAATTGTAATCTGTAACCTTCCCAACACTGCTGATCACATGTGAACGGCTTCTCTCCAGAATGAACTCTTACATGTGCCCAGAACAGAACCATACCACCAATCCAAACTGTATGCTAATTATCAATCATCTTTGACGATAGTGGTCCTGACAGAACGGCTTCTCTCCAGTGTGGATCCTCATGCCAATCTCAAGATCATATTTCCTTCAGATACTGTTTCCACACTGAGTGCAGGTGAAAGAGTTCTCGGCTCTTCTTTTCTTTAGACATGTCTTTTTAGCCTTTGAGGGACTTAATGTTTTTGTTTTTTTTCCCAGGTTTGACATGATGTCCCATGTAAAGTTTAATTTCATTTTCAGCACATCAGATTAATTCAAAGAGAGAAATATGAAGTGAAAGGACATAAGTGACTGACATTTATTTTACTAAAAACTTAAAGTAATCACCGTAACCTACCTCTGTTGGTGAAAATCATCACTACACTGCACTGCTTTTTAGCAGTTGATGGATTTTTGATGATTTTTTTTTTTATGTGATCATTTTTAAGTCTCCATATGTTTTTATAATTTATATATCTGGAACATGTAGTTGTAATTGATAAAGCAAAAACCTGTCAAACTGGTATATTAAATTGTTTAAAGAATTATGATGGCATGAAAGTTATATTGCATCAAATTGAGGGGGGGGGGATTGAAGGAAAAGCAAAAAAAAAATCATCATCATCTTCATCATCATCATGATTGCACAGCAGTCCAGTAGGTGGAGAACTGCATGTGTGTTACCAATACATTTAAACTAACGAAGAAGAAGGAGAACCGGAAGTAGAAGGGGGCCAGTAAAGATGTCTCCGCCGTCTCTCTTCGACTTCACTGAAGCCAGAGATAAATTTACGGTGAATTATAATTACAAACATTTACCGATAGACGATTTGCAGACGGTTTTAAAAAGAAAGTGTTTTGTTTCTATCTCTTGCCTGCCAAGTCTCTCCTCCAAAGTAGTAGATATTATCATAATATATATTATTTATCATACATTAGACCTATTGGACTAGACATTTGTGTAAAGTAATTTGTTAGTGAATGCTTTAAAATAGATGATGGTGTTTGAGGAGGGCATAATGAATGAAAAAAAAACAGTATTACTATGCTACATGAACCAAAATAATATATTTTCACTGTACTTTGGTGTTTCTATGTCTGGAAACCACGTAATATCATGCTACATTTAGTGTTTTTGTCATATATACTATAACCACTTTATTCAACTTATGTAAAAACAAATTTTTCTCTCCCAGGCTGCCACTAAAAGTGCTGTAGATATCAGGAGCTGTAAACCCCTGACCAACGCTTTCAGCCATCTGCCTGGAAAGTAATAATTGCTCTTTATCAAGATTTTCAATTGTTTGTTTATATATGCATAAATCCATCACTGTTGAGATGTTATGTGTGATTTCAATTAATTCGTCACAGTGAAACTGAGAAGAAAGCCACTCTTGATCAAGCCCTGCGTGGAGTTCTTGAAGAGCAGATTGTGAGTCCACAGCTGCTTCTTTGTGCCCCAGAATACTGGCATACTTGCATTTATTTTGCATATGAGTTATCATTGTGTATGGTGATGATTTTATTTTATTTTGCAGGTGAAGCAGAAAGTGAACGTTGAAGATTTCCTTTTTCTGATCTACATCAGTATAGACGGTGTGACTGAAGGTACGTGTGAACTACCACTCTTCTACACAAACATTAAAGTATAAAAAATTCTTTTCAGATCATCAGCTGTTTTGCATTGATTTATTGTTTTCGTAAAGGCATCTGCTCTGCTACCACTCCTTTTCTTCTGCTGGGAGATGTTCTCGACTGCCTTCCTCTGGACCAGTGCGACAAAATCTTCTCCTTTGTTGAAGAAAATGTGTCTACATGGAAATCTGTACGTTTGGACCTTTTAGTTGATAGTGCTTTTTTGGGTGTAGAAATCAATTAGACCAATATGTAGAGAACAAGCACCAAAGAAGCATAGGCACCTATTGTAATCATTACTGTTCTTGCTATTCTTCTTCCAACAATGATGTCTATGGCAGCCCATAGAAACTTTTGCATGAACGTTATGAAATTTTGCCCACGAATAGAGGGCAGTTTTGCCGTTTGTATATTTGGAATATCTATCTCACACCCTCTAGTGCCTTCAACAGCTAAAATTTTCACATGAGTTTATGCTAAAAATTTACAAGCAAGCTTCTTTGTTTCTGTTTCTATGTCCACCTGAAGTTTTCGTAAAAACCTACGTTTTCGAACTCATCCTAGACAGTTCTGGCGATCTTTACCAAATTTGGTGTCACCGCTTTTTTGTAAATGCCTATGACTGTGAATTTACACCATTTTAAGCATTTCATTATAGGGCTGCACGATTAATCGAATGCGATTGTCATGCGCATTTTGTTTGGAGTTTCAGCGCGAGAGCGCCCTCTGGCCTTTGGATGGAGATTTACTACTGATCACAGAACAATCGCAGCTTCTGTCGAATCGCAATCTCGATTCCATTTCGATTTATCGTGCAGCCCTATTTCATTATGTTAATAGAATGGTTTGTTCAGTCTTCAGTGTTACCGTTAGCCTGTGTGACCCCTTAATTGCTGCTTGCAGCAATATTATTTATGCTTGCTCTTTCTTTCATGTTTACAGAATACCTTTTACTCTGCTGGAAAAAATTACTTGTTAAGAATGTGCAACGGTGAGTTTCAAGTTCTATACAGATGTGTGCTCTGCATTAGAGACATTTAAATTGCACATAAATCAGTTTTTGGAATAAAAATGTATTATATCATAACTATATAACTTTTTAATGATATAATTGTTTTCTACCATAGTTTGTTGAAATATAAATGCTTAGGCCTAAATCAAATTGTGAATACCTAGTCCTAATATTCAAGTATATCTAGCATAATTCTTTATTGAGAATGTGCTGGAGTAGCCTAACATTACCACTGTGTTTGCCTACAGACCTGCTCAGGAGACTCTCGAAGTCTCAGAATACAGTGTTTTGTGGACGAATCCAGCTGTTTTTAGCACGTTTC